GTAATTTATTTTCCTGTTATATACGCTTACACAAGGTACGCTTGCCAGTGCTCCAAAGACACGTGGCAAATGTATTCTTAAGAATCGCCGATATGAAAGTCTCTTAGACTTGATGGAAGCTTGTGTGGACCAATAAGCATGTCGTCAACAATTCCTGCCCAAACCTTAATTTAAAATCTTTGCTGGAAGCTGGATTCACTTTGATATATAGTAAATTCATTGAAACTTATTTTTTGCTCTTATTTTGAAAATGAAACATTTGCGACCCCATGTTCATAGGAACATTTTTTCTTATTTTTGATCCTGAAACACGCACACGAAGTGTGTATACATATTTCTGACTCATTCTGTATATATAATCTTCTGTGACCACAAACAAGCAGGACCAATCTGTATTTTACTCAAAAACACATACTTAACCTCCCTCAAAATAGAGACAGAATTTATTATAAGCAATTATACAAACAAAAGGGTGCCAACATTATATGAATTAAATAAAAACGTTTTGCCTCGTTGATTAATTTATTTCAGACAATGGATTGTAAAGTAAACAATATCAACTATTCGGGCAACAAAATATCAGAATCAGTGAAATAAAGAACAAAGTAAGCTAGTATACACAGACATCAGACAAACAACAACGAATATTTTAACTGAACAAATGATTAAACAATTTTTCGGAAACGAAACTGCGATTATAACTCTCTTTTGTATGAATAATGTGTTTTCTGTTCAAAGTGGCTGATTGGTTTATCTAAATGAAATGTACTACTCACATGCAATATTTATAATATATTTTATAATATATTTGTAACAATGAAAACTACATAGTAGCGACAAATTAAAGCAATATAAACTATGATTTCTCAAGTGTTTCATGAAATATTTGTGTTACAGTACTTGATTGTCTTATAAAGGAAAGTTATGTTTAAGTTACAACTTTTTTAATTATTCTGTTACACACTTATCTGTGGTTGTAATCTACTTTTTTTGTATTGTATACTGCGGCGTGATTTGAAAAGTTAATTCTCAATCAACTTCCGTCACTTTACACAGCCTTTTTCAGGTTATATCGCTTCTTAGACCGTTACAAATTATATTTAGAAACGAAATACAGGTGTAATTATTTTGTTTAGATTAAAGTTTACTTGCGAGGGTATGCAGGCCTGAGTTTTAAACCGCATGTTAATAAAATTTAATTTAAACATGCAGTTCAAAATAAGAACACCACTGGCCAACATTTAAACAAAATACAATATCGCAAGGTGTGAGAAAAATTTGCAACGTTTGTGTGAATTCACGGAAGTAAGTTCAGGAACTAGAAAAATATTATTAATATCTCTGTTATAATTAATCAACTGTTAAAATTTATTATAGCCACTTATGGAATATATACTACAGATCTTAATTAAAGAGGTCGTTGTATTATCAAATTTTCTTATGAAATGTATTGAAAATTGCTGGACAGTAAGACTTCCTTTAAGGAGGGCTGATTATCGAGTTGAAACACTGGTACCTCTCAAGAAGAATTGTAATCGGATTTCAAAAAAAAAATATTATTCTTACCTTATTAACAGATTCTAAATGTTGTATATCTTGAACGACTATGGCAGATGGGAACTTCTAAGCAATAGCGCCGCCAATTTATATTACCTTTAGAAGTAGTTTTTATAACACGATTTATCTTTCGGCTAGGTACAATTGAAATTATGCAAAATATCTAGGTCTTACTGTCTTGATTTCACACATTAGGCAAGTTTGTGCCCGAACTAGTCTCAGAATCCTTACTGGGACTTAGGTTTCCATATTACTGCAACAAACTATGTTTTCATTTCCTTGCTTTCGTGTATAATTCAGTGAGCTCTTATAGGTCTAAACGTTCTCATTAGTAGCGACACTGGATAGTAAAATGTTATATTTTATAAGTTTTGGCACCATTATACTGGATTACTGGGAACGACCCGTTCTTCAAGTGCCTGAGCACCGCGGGTCCCAACTTTTCATTGGCTTGATTTATAGACATTCGGTAGGATTCCTTGGACAAGGGATCGGCCCGTCGCAAGGCACACAGGACAGCACAACACAGAGAAACGCAGACAAACATCCATGGTTTGAGTGGGATTCGAACCCACGGTCCCAGCGACCAAGCGGCACAAGGCCCACACCTCAGACCGCGCGGCCACTGCGGACCTCATTTGGTTAAACTGACTTCAACGTTACATAAACAGATCATTTCATACGTGTTTTCCCTAAATCCCGCTTAAGTATGACGTGTGTGAGGAGCAGAGCAGGTAAGCTATGGTATCTCCCTATCTTGGTTGATCTCATCACATTAATCGTGGTGGGTGGAGGACACTAGTTCCTCTCAGTTACACCAATGCCTCTTAGTGGAACGTATTGACCCACAAGGTAAACTAGGTGAGGGTAATCAGATATGATAGGCCTTCCTGTCTTTAAAGGTGTATAAGACTCAAATAAGAGCGGAACGATGGAAAATCAAGAGGCACAGATGGGGTCGATCCATCACTCGATTACTCAGCTATCGGCTGGTAGGGATAATGGATACTCAAGTTAATCATCGGACGGATAATTTAAGACAGATAAATTAAAGGGACCGATCTCGGTGGCCGTGTGGTCTATGGCGTGGGTCTCAGCTCCTTGAATATTGGGATCGTGGGTTAAATCCCACTCAATTAGAGAATGTTTGTCCCCGTCTTTCTATCTGGTGTCGTTCTGTGAAGGAACGAACTGTAAGGCAAGCCGACCTCTCGTACATGGTGTCCAACCGAATGTCTTAACCAATTCACATTTTCAGTAGAAATTCTGAGTTAGAAAGAGAGTAAGGCATTAAGTTATGAAAGGAATAATTCTCCGTCGAATGTCAATGGGTCTTTCCCACCAGTTATTATATATCTTACTTCTATGAAATGAAACCCTTGAGGATCTAATACCAGCGGTTTAGATGTTACAATATGCCAAGATAACTGTTACCAATCTTCCAATAAAATTAAAAATGTTTTTACTTGACAAATTAGATCAGGCCTGTTATTTAAATAAGTGTGTGTATTATTATCTTATGCAATATCTAATTACAAGTAAAATTTCAAGAAATGATTCTGACCGTAACAGTGGAAGAGAAGTTGATTTTTTATACCAGTGAACATTGTCCAGTTATAAAGTTGATGGCTAGGTCAGTACGTACCTGAAACCCTTACCCTGGAGGAAAAGGTGAACGAAGCGTGTAGCTAATCACCCAGCTTTTAAAATTATATATGATTATGTCTCATCCCTTAAACTCGCTTTACATGAGGACATTTATTAGCACACGGATAACAAACTCTGACCCTCATATAACGTACATAACTACTGTGTTTGCCATATATAATTTTTATTTGCGCCTCTAAGGGATATTTGTGTTTGCGGAACTGAACGTTGCGGGAGGAACTCTGCCGGCCACAGATAGATGGAAATTAAATTTTAATCCGGGAAAGTTTTTTACTTCTAAACAGACTAATATGATTGCTTCATGACATATTTGAGACCGCAACACTCTGTACCCCAAACCCAGAAATACGTTGTTGTCAGTAAGCACTGAAGATACGTTATTGTCTCTAAGTAAATCGACTAGATGTAAAATTGAAGGACGAGAATCTGTTTGGACGTCAGAAGAATGAAGAAAATGGGCAGTCCTGAATAATATGTGAAAGAATCTTTGTGATTTGTATAGACTACTCACTAGTGACAGGTAAGAATCTGCAAAGGCTGGGGTATATACCTAGGATAAGGTGAAACGGGATTTATATAGAAGTTTGGGGGGGGGGGGTCCCCTTGGAAAACGACTGCTTGGACAATGAGATGGAAAAATAAGGCTGGAAACATGTAATCCATATGGGAATATACACATGCGTTTTTGAATATTTTCATTACGACAGTAAACTTGCACTATTTTAATTCCCATCTACACAAATCTTGCGATCTTAAAAATCTTCTTTATGTGTTGTAACTCAATAGCGTTACGTCACGAGGCGCCTTTGTTCTGTGGTAGCATACAGGACTTCTACAGGGCCGTAGGGTCATATCCTGATCAAACCAAAATATGTTTCTTTCTTCGTCCACCCAGTACACATTCTAATTCTGCCTAATTCTAATTCAGCTGCCATGTTATTTTACATTTCACAAATAATTTCTGTACCGATATAAAACTTGTATTTTCAGAAAGTCTATTGTAATACATCATTGTGTAGCCCCATTTCAGGCGGAGTTAATATTAATACCACTTCATAAGTATGTTTGTTCGCCATGTTAGTATTACCGATTGTAAAAAAATTTAAAATATTATTTTCGGCTAGTCACCAATGGCATAACGTCCATATAATATTTCAACCAAATTCGTACAGCGATTCACGATTTGAATAATATGGACGGACAGACAAGCGGGTAGAAAGACCGACATGAACAGTCCTGTATGCGTTTATTTGATGCAAATTTTGCATAACAGCATTATGATGGTGGTTTGGGAGCTGGCATATGAATATCCGGGGGTGGATGGAAGTGACTCGGAATCGTGTCCAATTACGTTCTTTCGTTGAATAAAAAAATACTATTTCGTTAGACAATTCAATATTAATATCTATATGGCAAGCATTCACAGCCCCGCATTCTATTAAAAATATGCCTACCGGCTGGTTAAATTTCTCTCAGTAACGACAAAGCACCGCAAACTAACAAACCCCTGTTGGAAGCCGTAGACTATTTTATAATTTTTGTGCAAGTGCATCTTTCATAAAATGTTGCTGCTTCGTGTTTTTGGACTACCACTTTTAATTCTCCGGCCGGAGATTGGTTATACTAAATTATATTTTTCGTGGTGTTAATCAGTTCCTCCAGGAAAATGCCGGAATATTATAATAAAATATGCTACAATAGCTTCCTTTCCTATCTTTTCATTAATCTGAAATGGTGGCAGTGTCGTTAAATAAATCAAAGACAAATTGACTGACCTTCTTCTTGTTCTTCATGAGGTTGGCGTCTCGGCTGTCCTGAGCATTTCCAGGTGCCCTGGACCCCCACAAACGCAGTGCCATTCTGGCGTACACGAAGGAGATGATGCAGAGAGGAGTAAGATACTGCACCAACACCAGTACTATGCGATACGACAACATGGCAACTTCAGACATGTGAACGTTTTGGCAAAATGGCTTCACGTGGACGATGCCACCTGTGAAACAATGGAGAATACAAGCAGTCTGAGTTTCCGAATGGTGTGATGGTGATGTCTATTTATCGTGATGAATTTATGGTACAAGTTTCCTGCACCAACCTCTTATTGATTTTGTGTTTCTAAAAATAAGGTACCAGTGTAATTATGAGTACCTGCGTGTGTTATTTGCACGACACATCTGTCTATAACATGGCTGAAAATCAGGATAATATATTTCGTACATTCGTATTTTTATTGCAAAAGTTACCGAACGATTTTTTTTTAAAATATTGTATTGGAGGATTACACCAAAAATCTTCAAGGGATCTCATTCATCGAAGAACTAATAATTTACATGAGTAACTCAAACTACCTCTACAACCTGCGCTAAACCAACTAGTCAGCGTATCCATAATGAGTGAAAAATTAAAGCTGACAAGTAAAAAGATATTTGATATTTTAACTTATTTCTCTAGGGGTGTGACGGGGGCAGAGGATTTTTCCTCTAGCCTCTGTGTCCAGACCGGCTCTGGGGCCCACCCAGCCTCCTCTACAATGGGTACCGGGGTCCTTTCCCGGGGGTAAAGCCGGCCGGGGCGTGATGCTGACCACTCACCCCCATCTAGGGCCGAGGTCAAGGAAGAGAGGAGCTATACCGCCACTCACCCCAAACGCCTACATGGCGTATAGTGGGACAAACTTTACTTTACTTTACTTCTCTAGGGGTGTCAAATAGTAAATTTTTAACTGGTGTAGGTATGAGATCGTTTATTAACGCATCTGAACTTCGTTGTTTACAAATAATATTTAAAGCCAAATACAATTCGCCGGTGCCAGTGTAAAAGTTCAGGAAACGAAAAATAAAAAGATTATCTAGTTGCTTGTGTTCATCGCTATGTGAATGATTCGTAGCTTTATACAATTTCTTCTGTTCCAACGTGTACGACCTAAAGAAATGCTAAACGTAGTGACTCAACTCGCCACTGTACAAGTCAGTTATTTCCCTGCATAGAAAAGGCAGCACTGTCCGCGAGCCACGAGAAGTACGCTGGGAGTAGGTCGGCATAAATAGTTATACGCTAAACAGTTTTTAAAAAATGCGTCCTCCCCTGCACACATCATTCATATACACAATACATTGCACTACTGGAGCATAATGTGTTTTGAATAGGATTTTGGGGAGTGTGCATCCTTCACCCTCCCCAACGTCTCTTGGCGCGCGAAAATTATTTTGTCTTGTCAGTTATACAGCAGTACGTGGGCTGATGCTTGGAAATTACAACGGCGTGGGTACGCATGGTTTGTCTTATGAAGGTAATATCTGGTGAGTAGAAATGTTGTGACTGGTGAATTGAGCCTTGAGTGTATCACCGTACTCAATTTACTAGACAAAACTAATTTATACAAAGGACCCAACAGATTCGGTAACCTATTGTATATTCACCTGTTGACGTAACCAGTACCAAATTCCAAAACGTTGTTTGTTTTTAAATAATAAGTAATAATATGCCGAAGTATATGTATCACTTCAATGACCTTAGGTTGATCATCATGACATCTCCTACGTAGCTCTTATGGGAGAATAATATTAAACTGTATCTAAAAATGAGGGTGACTTGGTGTGGACTGAGCTCATGTGACTCATTATATGAACCAGCAGCGGTATCTGGTGGATAAACTTAACCTTCGCGTTCCATAAAAGGCGGGAAATTGGACTAGCTGAGCGACTATTGCCTTCTCGAGGAGGAATTACTTAAAGGGCCGGAAGTATCAATTTACAATTTTGAGTGGGATCCGAACCAGTGGGAGACATGTAGTCCCCACATACCTTGTCGAACCAGACCGGCCTGGTCTCAGTGTCGCGGCCTTTGTCTCTTTATACCCTTGCCAAGAATCGTATTAATAAATCCAAGCAAAGCAGAGAATATCTGCAAAATGTAAACTGTTCTCGCTACATTTAATAAACTTTCTTCAGAGCACTACACTATTACTCTGAGCCCTCACCAACTACATCTTTAACAAGTACGTTAAACATCCTTTAGAATTCATTGCACCCCGAGATAACTCATTAAGAAACAAAGACACACTGCATGGTTGTTCCTGGAACGAAATTAAAAGTTGGAATTAATCTTCGCGATATAAGTCTGGCTCACCTTTCCCGCCTAAACCCGCCAAGGGGTGTTAGTTTCTGGAGAAAAAATTGTGGGGATGAGAAAAAACGAATTAAAGATTTTTTATACCTCTATTCTGTCCCTCTTTTTATTTCCTTAGGCATTTGTCTTCTTCTTTTCCAACCTGTGGCAGAGATGGACTCTAAAATTGCTTACGCAGAGACCTGCATTGCCGTTAATTACAGGACTGAAACTTGATGACATCACGGTGTGATGAACAAACTCCATAAAAATTGTAGGCTAACGTTCTGAAGCCCAAAGCTCATCTTAATAACGTCAAAATGTAGTACTTTCCTCAGGGAAAAAGAATTCTGTTTAGGGAAATAAAGTTGTTTCTCCTCACAGTCATAATAAACCAATAAGGAGGCCACCGGTAAAATATTTAATCACTAAATGTTATAGGAGGTGGTATAAATATTTACCAATGTCGTTTAAATATTAAGAGTTTGAAATAAATTATATAGGATACTTAGACGACCCGTTCATCAGTGCCTTAAGCATCTGCGGGTCCCAACTTTTCGTTGGCTTTGATCTATAGATAGTTGGTAGGACTCCTTGGACGAAATATTAAATAACAGTTTAAATTAATATGAGTCACACAAAAAAATTAATTTTAGAACTATATTGGCTACCATGGTAGAAACTCCGACGGTGACATAAAACAGTCCAAATTTAGGTTTCATGTCTATGGCATAAATAATAAAGGCTTTGTTACATTAATACTTTATCGACCAACTTAAATTTACAGCTGTACAAATTTTAAAACTAACTTGTAACAGCTAGATTGGGGTTTTTAATTTTTATACTTTAATCATCTATTTTCCTACTTGTAACACCTCAGAAGACCGCCTGAGGCGCACACTTTCGGGCTTACTCCTAACAGACACTATGTTTGTTAAAGTAATGTCGAAGAAATTGTAACGGAAGATAAACATCTTAAGACATTGTCTTTCTTAATTACATTGCCCTATGACGAGCTGAAAGAGACCCTTGTTCCTTGCGAGAAGGTAGACTGATGATTGCAAGAGATCACTGCACCAGCTTCCAGGCTTTAAATCTTCTCTTAAAGCTTCCTAGTGTATACAAAAAGCGATAAAACACAGCTCTGGCACTCGTAAATTTTAGGTTAGGTTCGACATAAAACCATGCAGTAAATTGTAATGGTTTAACTACCTCTTAAAGATGTAAGTTGAACAAACAGCTGAGACACTAACCCTTTAAAACACGAAGTTCATCTAAATAATATTCAAAATACAGAAGTGGAATTTGATTGGGGGATAACGAACAACTAAGAATAAATGAGCCAGCAGAACAACTACGAGAGGGGAGAAGTAATGAAGATTCAACAATTAACAGAGATAAATTTTCGGTTAGGTAGGTTACCAGGCAGTGTCAAAAAATCTGATTCTGCATAAAGATTTCATCTAGCAATAAGCTTGATAAAAATTCAATTTTAAACAACGAAAGATTAAAAATGTTGGCTTTCATTCCTTATTCATCATTTGCCACCGGTAATGTTTGTTATAATGTAACTGGTGCGTGTCGAAATTTTGAATACAGAGAGCATTGTACCCATACTTTAAAGTATCTTGTGTCTTAATACTTCTGTATAAGTTAAATTAGAAAACGAAGTGACGTATCATAAGGGCAATGCGCTTACAGCTTACAGTTCGTACAAAAGTCTCATTCGTGCGTCACTGTGACTGTACAGCATTAATGTAAGGCGGAGCTGGAGTAATAATTTCATACAAGAGAATCCTCTTTGGGGTATTATACTCACTCAGCTTGCCAAGAACTTCTCCATGATTTATGTAACGTCAAAATTAATTCTGTGTTCACAACAGCCCGTTACTAGACCCTATTTTATACCAGTTGAATCCAGTCTACACCCTATTTCTTAATATCAAAGTCAGCAGTAATTACAACCCAATGTCTTCTTCATGACCTTTAACGAAGATGTTGAATACGTATCTTGTGTCCTACTAATCTCGCCGTACTTAATTTGACCACCCTAATGAGATAAGATAAAGAGCACAAATTATAAATTTCTTCCGTCTTCGTCTCTCTTAGGCCCAAAAATTCTCTTTGCCACTTTGTTCTAAAACACCCTTAAACCATGTCCTTTGCAAAGGACGGAAGACTAAGAAGTAGTCTTAAAAGCGAAGTATATTATATATATATATACATTATAAATGTGTAGTTTTCCTCTTCTGTTACGTAAAATATACTTCAGTAAACTTTACGATTTCCACTGATATTATTTGGCTTTAACAAACTATGACCTCCTGATATACACCCGTATGTGGGTATTTTAATCATCTAATGATTGTTAAAATTATATAGAATAAATTAAGTATTCTTACATCTAAAGCAAGCATTTTAATGTTTTTAATTTTTATAAAAATATATATAACCTCCTAAGCGATTCGTAATTTCCTATTTAAAACGAAAGGTGCCCGTGTGTTATTCATGCAACTAAAAAAAAAAGAACTCTGATAATCCAACGTTTCTTCTAAACCGACTGTCAGCTGAAAGGTATACAAAGATCCAAAAAATGCGAATAACATGTGCAGGCAAACTCAACACATAAATTCATGTCACGTCTATATCTGCAGAAATGTACTAGTACTGTAGGGAACGAAGAAAGCAACTGTTATATTTAGCATGGATTTACAAACAAACACATCACTATGAAAATACCAAAGAATTCACTAGAATTCTGTAGCGTAGACCTGAAAGCCATACCCTAGGGATTATAAAGATCAAAATATTGGATTTCACAAAATAAGTTGTTTAATTGAGACAGCAGAAGTGCGATTGATCATATTGGTCGTAGGATTCATAAAC